TTCTTACAATGTCTTCCAACTTTTTCTAACTTCTTTATACAGAGATAAAATGGTATGTAAATACCAAAATAGTTAAAATAATAAAGGAAATGGTATAATCATAAGAGAGATCACAAAACGCACAAACTTACTATTTGCCAGGTCTCACTAAATAAATACTATTTGCCAGGTCTCACCAAAATAGTAGTATAACAGTCTCAAATAATTAAAAATAAATAAAAACTTAAATTTACAAATGATAAGTTTGTAAATTTTATTACTCTGTAGTTTTTTTATCTGTGATTATGACATTTCTCTCGATTCTTTGATCAATATGGGCTCATTCTATTTTATAAGAATTCTAAATTTGGATATTGAAAGAAATTAGAAAAAGTTGTCAAGAAATGAAGGAGTTGGAAAATGTTAAAGAAATTAAGTTATTGGAATATTCATTTAATTAAATGATTATCTTAATAAATATGTAAAAAAAACTAATTTTGGATAAAAAATATTCATCTTTATCTGTATTTGTATTTGTATTTGTATTTGTGGTGATATGTCATAACTTTAGATATATGATGTTATGATATATTCTCCTTGTACATATCTATATTTTTAAGACGGTTATAATAAACTAGAAAAGATTTAACTAAATTGAAAAAAAGTTGAAAACTGTTACTCCGATTGATTCAAGACTCAGGTCCCGTTTGGTACATGGAATTCAAACTATAGAATTGGAATTGGGGACTTCAATTCCAATTCTGGTGTTTGGTAGCACAAAAATTATGTGGATTTAGAATTGATAGTGCAAAAAATGAATTGAAATTGGCAGAATTAAATTCTATGGAATTGAATCCCATAGAATTTCAGTTCCAATTCAATTCCAATTCCACCAATTCCATATATCAAACGGACCCTCAAGTGATTTTTTTTTCTCTATTTTGGTCAAATGGGTCAAAGCGGGTGTGACCAAAGACCGACAAAAGAACAATAATCCCACTAATCAATTCCCACTAATTCTGTTTAAATCTTTGATTATCACATTCTTTGTGCCTTTGTTTAAAGAATAATTAAACATTGGCACTTTTTTGAACGGCCAAACTTAACAAATGTTGGATTCTTTTGTTGGGTCCCTTCCCTACCAAATTTAACCTTGGTTGAAATTACTCCCTAATTTGTAAAGACTTTAGGCACTAAGGTTCCATCCCATGCTCAACCATAAATATGAGTACTATTATGCTCATCTCATATGAGTAATATTATGATATTATATAATCTTGCCTTTTACTGATTATTGATACTCCATCCGTCCCACAGTTTTTGTCTACTTTTGACTTTTGGAATTATTCATCTAAACATTTTGACTCACCAAATTCTCTCAATGTGTAAGCGTAAATATAGTCATGTGTGATCTTGTTTGATTTATCTTAACATATAGATTATTAATATATAATTTTTATAATTTTTTAATATACAAATTACAAGATAAAATGGATTAAAGAAGTACATTGGATGGTGTGTAAAAATGAAAGTGGACAAATATTATGGGACGGAGGGAGTATATAATAATCTTAACTTTATTAGAATTTACAACTTTTGAATAATCGTTAATAAGCAGTTAATGACTAGTTGACTGAGGCCTGTTTTGCATAACAAAATAAAAAATGAAATTATTTTTTTAATATAAATTTTTGTTTTTAACTTTTTTTTTGAAATTTTCTCTCAAAATTTGAAATCAGTTTCTACCTTTATCATTTTTTTTCTTTTTTAAAGATTAGTCTTACATCTAAAAATAAAAAAATGAGAAAAACAACTAGATCATACAAAATGAATGAAATAAAAATAGTTAATAAAAACTAGCCTCAAATTGGCAACAAAATAAAAATAAAAATATACGGAGTGGTGTATGGTTTGATGTACACTACTACTTCCTCCGTCCCATAAAACCTTTCTCCTTTATTTTTTTATCTTTCCCACAAAACACTTCTCATTTCTATTAAAAAGCCACTTACCCCTTACTTTGTCATACTCTAACTATCACATCATACTTTTTTACTAATAATCTATCCATCAAATCATACTTTTACACATCACATCAAAGAACATTTTTGGAAATTCAATACCAAAATACACTCCCCTTAAATCCCCCCTAAAAAGTAAAACTCTCGACGGAGGGAGTATGATTTAAAAAATAAAAAACAACTTACATCTCCCCACTGTATCATAATTTTGGAATGGTGCATAAAAAATGGAAACCCCACAAAAAATGTGATATGGTTTGATATTACATTAGTATGTTTGTTTGTGAGCAAAATTGTGTGATAATGACAAGCATACACATATATAGTATGTTGCTCTACTGAAAACTAGTGCTTTAAGATTGCTAGGCTAGTGAAACATGTGAATTGAGATAACCTTTTTGTTTTTATATGTTTAACCACTAGCCACCATCTTAGTGTTGATGTTTTGTTTGTACTCTTCCCCACCATTTTTTTAAAAATTTGATTTCTTGAAAGAATAAAAAAAATCTTTTTTTAAAAGGGCTCCAACATATGTTTATTTACAGGAGATACCTTTTTCTCTAGTTTGTGAATTTTCTTTCAAGATATTATACGGAGTACGTTTATAACAAGAAAATCTTTGATTAGAGTATACTTCCTTAATCCGTATACCTAAAGAGGAAGAAAAAAAGGAGGATAAAGTGTACTCCCTCCTCCACTTTATTGTGTCTACTTTGAATGGCACAAAAATTAATAATTTCTTTCTTTTGAATGAATTATCTTTCTTACTATTTGTTGGAATTTTTGGCATTTTTAATAGGCATTAAATAGATTAACTTGGGTATATTTGTCAATAGGTCCACTAACGGTTTTAACCGTTAATTAATGGACGTGTGTTCTCCTAAATGAGATAAATGTTTTAATAATTTATATGCCAAAAATGGTAGAGGGTGAATAAGAAATTGGTTCTCAAACTTAACCCGTAATAAAAGAATATGGTAAGGATTGTAATTTTTGCAATTTTACTGAACCAATCTTCTTTTATTAATTTTACGTATTGTTTAAAATTAGTCCTTTCTTACAGAGTTAACTGGCCATTAATCTCCAATTATTCGGGACAAATTTTAAACGAAGCGTAGCGTAACGAACGTGTTAATGGCTAATTAATCACCATTAACACGGTATTAAGTGTGCCACAAATGCCATGAATTTATGGTGTAGGAGTTACATTTTTTAATTGGCTTGATTATAAAATCAAAGACTCTCTCCATTCTCTTTAGTGGTGGTGTTTCATACGTGAGGAAGGAAAAAAACAAGAAGAAAGGGAAATACTTGCTTGTTTTTTTGAGAGAGAGCTCTTGATTTTCCGGCCAACTTTCCGGCAATCCCCTTCATAGTTTTTTGGTCGCCAACGTTCCTACGTTGTTCTTGTTCGTTAGTGTGTGGTTGGTCCGTACAATCTCCACACACGATAGCGGTTTTATCCTGGGAGGAGAGTGCCCACGTTTTTCCGGTACGGTAGGCGAACACTACTACCTTAAGGACAGCTTCGGCGACTCCGCTGTCCTTCCACGGTGTTTTGTTTTTGCAGGTACAACGCATAAAAACCTAGCTGCATTCTGCCCTGACATAATGTCCTTGCTGTCCACTGCATAATGTCCTTGTAGCCTAGTGAATGACGTCCTTGCTATCAAGTGCATAATGTCCTCGCTGTCTAGTGCATAATATCCTCGTTGTCCAGTGTTTAATGTCCTCATACAACGAGGCTTTTTGAGAAGATATAGGAATTTTATTTTCTATTCTTTTTATTTTGTAATATTCTGAATAAGTTATAAATTCAGAATTTTATTTATTTTTATTACCGGGGCCGTTCATCTTCTTCGTACGTTGTAATCCGTACAAATAGTGTAACACTATTTACTCTTGAAAAATTTGTACTAAATAAAACTAAAACATACGGAGTATGTCTTTTTTCAATGTAAAACTTAAATAAGACTTAATCTTGTGGCATGTAATTGATGAGAGTGTGGGGGTATGTTCCAGCCGAACCAGGGTGGGGGGTTTACCAGGGTTAGGTAGGATATGAACTATCAATTTCTGGAACAAAACATTGTACTAGTATGAAGCTTGGGTCATCCTATGACATTGAATTTCAATGTCACGAGAATCGAGATGAATAAATTAATCCAAAAAGATTCATTCAAACAGTCAAACTCTTTTGTCCTAAAAGTGGCTATGAATTTAGGACCGAAGGATTAAATTTTAAATTAACCACTTCAAAAGCTCCGATGGACAATGGAAAACTGAGTGAGAGCATCTCCAATGCATTGGGTATATGGTAAAATATACACTTTTTACACTTTATTTTTCATTTTATCTCACTCCAATGGATAGTGTAAATGTGATGATAAAATGCACTATAGTGCAAAAAGCAACTCACACATTCTATTTCTACAAGTTTAGATAGGGAAAATAGTTTTTAAAATTATTCTGTGGCCCTTTTTTATCTCTCGTCACTCTCTCCCCCTCCTCTCTTTATCATTTCTGCTGTCTTCTTCAATCCAAAATCACCGGTGCTGCTATGCTCATTCCCTTTCTCAGGTAAAATGCTGGAATTTATATTAATTGTGTTGATGGCTAATTATTTTATCCTTTTATGTGGATAGATATCTTATCCAATGTTGAGAGAAAATCTTTCTAAAATGAAAATCCTACTACTTCTGAATATTTGTCCAGTTTTTATTTAATATCAAAGTTTACCAATTTTACCAAAAAAATTAAAAATGAACAACTAATTATTTAGATATTTACTTTTAAATAATATTATGAAATTTTTAACAATAGATTAATTAGATTATACAAAAAAAATTGATTCGATTTTGCACATAATAAAGGTGATTATAAAAATAAAATGCTCTAATTATTATGCATAACTAACTCAAAATAATAAAATATTACAAAAATGTATAATATAAAAGATATGGTTGGAGTAAGTATAAAAAAGTAGATGTGTAAAACACTGCTGATAGTGTAAAATTGCATTTACACTACCAACTTTTACACTATCCCAAGATGCTCTGAGAGAAAGAGGGTATCTGCTAAAGCTAAGAATAGGAGCTGTAAAAGAGAAAAGTGAGTGAGAGACCAGCTCTCTAACGTATTCTTTGCTTTACCAGTCTTTTTGCCCATATAGTAAGATGCTATGCTAATTAATAACAACCGAGGTTTTCTATCTCCACATCATTAGAACAAATCCCCAAGAAACCCATTAATGGTGGGTGGTTCTATAGCTTCTTCAAGGCTTCTCAGCAGTGGGATTTCACTCAATATGATGAATAAAGAAAGAAATGCAGTTTTGTTATGGTCTTTCTCATTTCTTGGCTTTCTGTTCTCTTCTGCCTTTGGTTTATTGTCCCCTAAAGGTGTAAACTTTGAAGGTATTTTAGCTTCCGGTTCATGTTTTCTGGGTCATCTTTGTCTTTTCATAATGAACATTTCAAATTCTTGGTTTTTCTCTTTTGTTTTCCCTTTTTTAACCCCAATTTTTATTTTATTTTATTTTATTCAGTTCAAGCTTTGATGAGCATAAAAGCCTCTCTGAGGGATCCCCATGGGGTTCTTGAAAATTGGGATATTAACTCTGTTGATCCATGTAGCTGGAGCATGGTCACTTGCTCTCCAACTGGTCTTGTTATTGGACTGTATGTTCTTAATCTTTCTTTTTCTTAACCCAGTTTTCTCTGCAATTTTAAGCCCGAAAAATGGAATTTTTTTAAGGTTGAGCTTTAACTTGGAAAATATACTGGGAATAGCTTGAAATTTGATTAGAACATTTAATTATTATTGTTTACATGCATAATCTTTCTTTGCATTAATACAAATAATTTAGGTTTGGTCCAATTTATTTATTTTTCCTTCAAAATTTCCCATTTGCTTTCATTCCCTTGACATTTTTCTGAGTTCCCAAAGGATCTTTAATTGATGGGTTTTTTCTTCTTGTGCAGAGGAGCTCCAAGCCAGAGCTTATCTGGAAAACTCTCTCCCAGCATTGGCAATTTGACAAACATCCAGACCTTGTAAGTCCTAATTTCTGAATAATTTTTACACATATTCTTAAATATTAGTCTTTTTTAATCATCAACAATCTGGTTTTAAAGAGTATAATAATGATGTGATTAACAGACTCTTACAGAATAACAACTTCACGGGTTCGATCCCACCTGAGATCGGCCGCCTTCCTAATCTTCAATCGCTTGATCTTTCAAACAATCTCTTCACTGGAGAAATCCCTTCTTCTCTGGGGTTCTTGAGAAACCTCAAGTACTTGTAAGCATTTAATTCATTCTGAATGTGGACTTTTAGAATTTAATAAATAAATTCTTTTTTTTTAAATTAAAAACAATGCATTTGTTGTGTGAATTAGGAGGCTCAACAACAACAGTATATCTGGAGGAATTCCAGTGTCATTGGCCAGTATGACTCAGCTTACTCTCCTGTAAATCTCTCTCTCTGACACTAAATGAACATTCTCATATTTTTTGAAAATATCAATCTGAACTAAATGTGTGCATCTTTGAATATTTTGGAATTCAGGGACTTGTCTTGCAATAACTTGAGTGGACCTGTCCCGAAATTCCCTTCGAAGGCGTTCAAGTAAGCGAAATAATATTTGATAAACCATAGGTTCCACCAAACGTTGCCTTAGTTCAAAGATTTTATGGATTCATAACCTTTCCACTTTCTCTTGAATTGCAGTCTTGTAGGAAATCCTCTGATATGCGTCACAGGGTCCGAATCCTACTGCAAAGGGATGACTCTATTGCCTATGTCAATGCCAGTGAACACTCCAGAAAGTAAGGACTTGTTGTATGCTCACTAGGACCTGTTTGGCATTAACCCAACATTTTTTTAAAAAAAATCGCATTAACCCAACATTTTAATTATTGACATTTCAATTTCCAGCGAAGCCACCTTCTCAGAAACAGAAAAGTCACAAACTTGCAGTAGCATTTGGCTCATCCATTGCCTGCACAAGCGTACTAATCCTTGGAATCGTTCTGTTTATATGGTCACGGCGAAGGCAGGAGCATCAAATGATGTACAATGGTATACAGAAGTTCTTGTTTATGTGTTTTTTTTCAAAAAAAAAATGTTGTTATATGAACGTGCATTGTAATTTTTTGTATTATTACTACTATTATAGGCCAAGATCCAGAAGAAGTTTCCCTGGGAAATGTAAGAAGGTTTCAATACAAGGAACTTCAGACAGCAACAAACAACTTCAGTGGCAAAAACATTCTGGGAAAAGGTGGTTTTGCAAATGTTTACAAAGGATGTCTCTCAGATGGAACAGCTGTTGCTGTCAAGAGGTTAAATGACGGGAATGCCATTGGAGGCGAAAAACAGTTCCAGACAGAGGTGGAGATGATCAGTTTAGCTGTGCACCGTAACCTTCTGAAGCTCTATGGTTTTTGCATGACTGCAACTGAAAAGCTTTTGGTTTATCCCTACATGTCCAATGGAAGCGTGGCTTCACGCCTCAAAGGTATTGGGATTGTTCTCTCCCTATTAAGGGCATTTTTGGCAAATGCCATTTGGTTGAGGAGTCAAATAAGATCTTGAGTTGGTATAGCTAATCGGTTGGATTCAACCCAAGTGTCTTACTACCCAGACACCCAGTCTCAATTTGTATTTGTCATTTTTTTTAAAAAAAAATGTAATTTGGAATTGTTTGAACAGTGAAACCGGTGTTGGAGTGGGGCCAGAGGAAGCGGATAGCAATAGGAGCAGCGAGGGGGCTGTTGTATCTGCATGAGCAGTGTGATCCTAAGATCATTCACAGAGACGTTAAGGCAGCGAATATATTGCTGGATGATTTTTGTGAGGCAGTTGTGGGGGATTTTGGGCTGGCAAAGCTCTTGGATCACAAGGATACCCACGTCACGACCGCAGTCCGTGGGACCGTGGGCCATATTGCACCCGAATATCTATCCACGGGCCAATCATCCGAGAAAACGGACGTGTTTGGGTTCGGGATCCTGCTCCTCGAATTGATCACGGGAATGAGGGCTCTAGAGTTTGGCAAAGCAGCCAACCAGAAAGGAGCAATGCTTGAATGGGTGAGGTTTTCGATTCTCTTGGTTTTTTCTCCCGAAACCCAACCAACCCATATTTAAAAATAAAATAAAAATTTGGTTAACTTCCGACAACACGTGGGTCCCACATTTGAAGTGGTGGGTCCCGTGTCTTTCGATGCACGGGCCCACATTCAAAGTCGGGAGCCATGTTGGTTCGACAGCTCATTTTATGACATCATCACAAACTTGTGAATTTTCAACTTTAACAAATACCCAATGCTTGATGGCATTCCATTTATCATCATATTGAGTCAATTCATGGTTGTGTTCTAAAAAAAACCAGGTCAAGAAAATGCACCAAGAGAAGAGCCTCAATGTGCTTTTGGACAAAGACTTGAGGGACAAATGTGATGAGATAGAGGTAGAGGAAATGGTCCAAGTTGCCCTGCTATGCACCCAATACCTCCCAAGCCACAGGCCCAAGATGTCCGAAGTGGTCCGAATGCTCGAAGGCGATGGGCTCGCGGAGAAGTGGGAAGCGTCTCAGAAAGCCCAGAAGTGCCCCTCAAACCACAACCACACGGCTTCGCACACACTCTCATCGTCGGACCGGTTTTCTGACCTCACCGATGACTCGTCCGTGCTCGCCCAAGCCATGGAGCTCTCTGGCCCAAGGTGAGCCGCGTGGGACTGGACCGTGCATTGATGAACCGGTTTTCAAAAACCGCGGTTTTGAAGGCGACGTATATAGGGCTGGTTGCTTAGGTAGAGTTTGGGGTGTATAGTTCTTGGAGATGATATTCCTCATGAAATGAGAGTTTTGGTAGATGATTTGTAGTGCAAGAAAAATAACAGATGAAAACTAAAAATTTTTGGTAATGTTATTGGCCTTTGGGAAGAAGTTTATCTACTGCTTGAGATACTCAATGCAATCTTTCAATTTTGTTCACATAATGAATTAAATTAGAATGGAAAATTAAAATTCTTTTTCTTGACTTTCTGTGAAGTTTTGGCGAATAAGTGTAATAATGCATCAAAACAATATAAATTTATTTCATCGTCTCAAATTTTTGAGAATGAGTCTTAAGTCATTTAATAGGATGTCACACATTAATATCAACAATGTTTATATATACTCCATTTTAAGGATATTTTAGATAATTTATCATAATTTCTCTATGTAATATAAAAAATAGAGTATGAACTTAAAAAAAAGAGGTGGGATCACTTAAACTGGAATACATCAATTTCAAATTTACAAGAATAAGACCAATTTAAATTTTAACCCATTTAAATATTAATCCAATACTCTCTTTCAAATTAATGTATAAATATACTAATATCCAATTTGAATAATTAAAATTTAAATATTTAACACATATTCACTTCAATCAAACAAAATAATTAACACTCGATTCACCGTCACTTGGTGGTCAAGTTCCCTTTTCAAGCCTCATAATGCACATTTTTTTATTTATACCCACCTGTTTATGTGACGAGTAATATTTAGTATTACTGCTGTCTTAAAATTCACATGTGAATATAGATTTTCTCACATATTCTCATAGATTTATATTCTCTGCGTCCTAAAATGATCTTTTCGGTTCGATTTACTATTTTGACTGAAATTATTTTTAATTCAATTTATTTGATTATAGGTGTAAAATTTAAAAATAAAAATTATATACTTTAAAACTACATAAAAAATTCTACAAAAAAAGATGTGACATGACTATATTACTTTATCAAATAACTAATGAAAATATGTAAGAAAGTGATTAAAATTTAATCTTATGAATAATGACTATAAAAATTATCTTAGGATTTATGTATTAATATCCACAAATAAACATAAACCTAAGAAAATACCTCCTTACGTGACACTCCATCAAATTCTTGTAGAGCCTGAGTATATATTTGGACCCCATCTAGCGACAAAGAATCTGCCTTGAAAATGAAGAGCCCTCTTTTCTTATGATTGGTTTCTTTAATTAAGCAACCATATCTCGTACGATAAATTTGTTACACTCACCAACGCACCAACAAAACTTCATAGGCTTTTTTTCCTTGGTATTAACTCACTAGTTTGATTTGATTAAATTTTGATTTGATTTTATTACAATTATATTTAAAGTTGTTTCTGGTCTAATTTAATCTAATTTTAATAGAAAATAAGTGAAAAGTAAAAAAAATAGATTCAAGAGAATAAATTGTAGCTAACATTCACAAATTTATTGTTTGTAATTTAATTTTTAACCATTTGACCGATGAAAGAGATTAAGATAAAGTTTACCATTTTAACCATAACCATATACTATTCCCTCCGTCCCAGAGTATTTGTCCACTTTCATTTTTACACATCATCCAATGCACTTCTTTAATCCATTTTATCTTGTAGTTTGTAGATTAAAAAATTATAGAAATTATATATCAATAATGTACATGTTAAGACAAATCAAACAAGATAACACATGACTATATTTAGGCTTACACATTGAGAAAATTGGATAAGTTAAAGTGCTTAGATGAACAATTCCAAAAGTCAAAAGTGGACGAATATAGCGGGACGGAAGTAGTATATGATAAGAAGTATAAATTACAAAAAGTTTACCTAATATAGAGAGTGAACTCTTAGTACGAATAAAAGAGTACTATAGAACATTATAATGAGACAAATAGAGCACCATTTTGTTCTTTTAGTGAGATTTACAAATGAATGTTTGTAAATTTTGTGATTCTGTTACTTTTCTTTTCTACATCCATCTCATCCTCACATCTTTACTCTTCTCAAGGATCGTGATAAGTTGGGGTGATCAATTATTAATTACCCTACAGTTAACTCTCTCGGTGTGGAATATTATTGGGACAAGATAAAAATATTATCCATCAATAAATTTTTAGCTCTACTACAAACTCAATGGTCAGATTAATTGGGAATATTTCACTAGGGAATAACTTGTGGAAGACTTTTTTCTTTGGAGGCAACAAATATGTTTGGGAGGTATGATGTGGTAATCAATTAGACAATCAGTTCTCTATATTATTTTGTGTGCAGATCAGTCTATAAACAGTAGACCTATGCAAAGGACCGGCCCGTCCGGCCCGCCAAGCCCACCCTTTAAAAAAAGATGGATATTGGCCGTGTTTGAAAAACAGCATTTGGGATAGCTTTTGGCATCTTTGACTGACTTTGGTTTTTTTGACCAAGCGAACCGCCAAAACCATTGTTTGGCTAATGGCTTTTTCACTTGGCATTTTGATCCGAAAAGCCAAAATTTGAAATGCCAAGGTGAGTAGCATTTGGACTTGGCGGTTAGGAAAAATATTTTTTTTAAAATCATTTTTGTTGAAAGATATTTTATAATATATGTAAAAAATAAAAATAAAAGTTAAAAAAATTAAATACGAAAAAATAAAATGAAATTAAAAAAAAATTATATTTATAATTCATTAAAAAATTTATATTTATAATTTATTATGAATTAAATGAAATTAAAATTTAATATTNCTTGGCGGTTAGGAAAAATATTTTTTTTAAAATCATTTTTGTTGAAAGATATTTTATAATATATGTAAAAAATAAAAATAAAAGTTAAAAAAATTAAATACGAAAAAATAAAATGAAATTAAAAAAAAATTATATTTATAATTCATTAAAAAATTTATATTTATAATTTATTATGAATTAAATGAAATTAAAATTTAATATTCCATATAGTAAAGATTTAATTTTTACATGTAAAAAAATGAAAAATAAATATCATGTCTATATATATATATATATATATATATATAAATTTTTATTTAATTTTTTTAATTTAAAAAAAATATATTTATGATATGATATTAAAAAAAAATTGTAAAATAAAATATACCATAAATGGAGGGATGCCCTTTTATGTAATTTTATTTACAAACAGCTAACTATAAACAGCTAAAGTTGCCAAACACTTAAAATTTAACTGCTAACAGAAACAGCCGGTCAAAACAGCTAACTCAATCAGCCATTCAAATCAGCTAACATAAACAGGCAACAGCCAACTGTCAACTGCTAGTATCCAAACAAGGCCATTGACAACTTTTAATACCCACGAGCGGACTAGCCGAAACTTGAATTGTATTTTGGCGGATCTGGAAGTTACTTTTAGTTCATCTGGGCCAACATGCCTGTCCATATTCATCAAATACATTTATTTTATTACGGAGTATTAATTACCTATCTAATATAAATTTTAAAATTTTCTATAATTTATGTATAATAGTTCAATTCACTCACTTCTCTTAAACAAAAAAATCAATAATTTGTTAATGAATCAGTATGATAAGTTTATTAATTAAGCAACAATATATCTATTATTTTTCTATGTAAATATAGTTACTCGTGATTTTATTTTAAATTGAAAAAGAGTTGAATGTTTTTTTATTTTTTGGGTAAAAAATATTTTCTTGATGTTTTATCCGGGCTGAGAGGCTTGATGGGAAGTTCGGCCTGCTAAGATGGGCAGGTATGGGTAAAGAATTTAGCTCATCAAATCCGAGTCAGGCCAGACCCGCCCATGTAAATGAGCTAATAATTTATATCAAACCCGGCCTAGATCCGACCCGGATCCTTATTTGCACATGTTTAATGAACCGTATCCTAAAAACCATTCATGTTTTGATTTTTTTAGTCAAATAGTAACACTTTTTTACCAAACTTATGAGAAAATTGTATTTAGTTATAATATAAATCCAATATATTTGGGTTCATGTTGGGATACAATTTTGATATATCAAATTTTTATATCATTTAGTTATTTAGATTATGTTTAATCTATGGTTAAAGAATGTCACTGTTTAATTAAAAAATCAAAGCATCAAAGTTTGTAGGATTGGAGGGCCATGACTCCATGTACTCCATTTTTGAGGTGTGGTATTAGAAGATTAAAGATTAGTTGGGTGTAAATCCGAAAATCTTAATGTACTCCATCAACTTAGATAATTACATCTGAAAAGGGTAGAAGAGAGGATAATAATGTCTTTAGTCTATAAAGATTATCCAAATGACTATCTTAGCTTTTCAAGGAGATGTTTTGCAATGGGTGTTGTCTTCCTACTCTTAAGATGAGGTAAAATATGCAAAATTACTCGTGGGTGACGTGAGTTTTGTGGAAATAACTTTCATGTTTTTCTATTTTTAAAAAGACAACCAAGGTCCTTATATTTTGTTGTAATGACTGAGAGGGGACATTTCATCCAATACATCATCCGTAAGTGTTAATAAATGAATTTTTTCCATATTTTTCTAATACTTTTTTTTTCCTATTTTGCCATTACCTTGTTTTTTCTTTTTTTAAATTTTTTTTATTTCATTTGTTTTAATATAATACAAACAATTTTGAATTTTTATACGATTTTATAGAAGAAATTCTAAAATAACACTTTTAAAAAATAGTAACAAAATGAAAGAAAAAACAAAGAAATAAAAAAAGGAGCGACCTAAGATTTATTACCTTAAAACATTTAGAAAATAATAGGAAAAAATACATTTATTAACGTTTATAGATGAAATATTGGATAAAATGTCCCATTCTAGTCATTACAACAAAATGTAAGGACCTCTGCTGTCTTTTTGAAAATAGAGGGACCTGAAAGTCATTTCAACAAAACTCGCGTCACCCGCGAGTAATTTTCTATAAAATATGAGTACACTTAAATTTCCATACCCCACCCATATCCCGTACCATAAATTTGTTACACACACCAACAAAACTTATACTCCCTCCGTCCCCAATTTGATTACAAATTGGAATTTACGAGAAGAAATGTCTCACTTTTTAAAATCATTTTATTTACAAATTGGTATATCAATAAGAAATAAAAGTTACATATTAAAAAACTACGTCAAAAGTTCTACAAAACAAGAGGTGACAAGAATATTTTATTTTATCAAATACTTAGGGTCCGTTTAGTATAAGGAATTGATGGAATTGGAATTGAATTGGAATTGAAATTCCATGAGATTCAATTCCATAGAATTGAATTCTGCCAATTCCAAATCATTTTTTTGCACTATCAATTCTAAATCTACATAATTTTTGTGCTACCAAACACCAGAATTGGAATTGAAGTCCTCAATTCCAATTCCATAGTTTGAATTCCGTGTACCAGACGGGGCTTTAATGAAATCGAGTAAACAAATAAAAATTATCAAGATGAGAGAGAAAAAAGAATTGTAATCAAATTGGGGACGAAGGGAGTACCAAATGAAGGGAATTGAAGGCTTTTCTTTTTAATTTATCTGATTATTTTTATTATGATTTGATTAAACTTTCATTTGATATAATTATAATTAAACTTAAAGTTTTTTCTCATCTAACCTGATCTAATTCCAATTAGAAAATAAGTAATAAGTAAAAAAATAGATTCAAGAAAATAAACTTTAACATTTAGAAATTTATTGTTTGTAATTTATTTTTTTTTTAATTTTTGACTATTTAATGCATAGAGAGAGAGAGAAATGATACAAGGGATAAATTACAAAAAGTTTGCCTAATATAGAAAGTGAACTCTTAGTACGGATAAAACAATACTATAGAAGTATAGAACATTATTATGAGACAAATGGAGTACCATTTTGTTCTTTAAGTGACATTTACAAAGAATGTTTGTAAATTTTGTGATTCTGTTACTTCTCTTTTTTCTACATCCATATCATCCTCACATTTTTACTCCTCGCAGGAATCGTGATAAGCTGGGGTGATCAATTGTTAATTACTCCACAATTAATTACTCTATATTATTTTTATGTGCATATAAAAGTACAAACGGTTGGGAACCAAATATTTTCTAATTTATACTATCTTCAATTCTAAAAATTTTTCCTGTTTTGATATTTTTAGTCAAACAATGACATTTTAATCATAAATTGTGAGAAAAATATATTTAATTATAATATAAGTTTAGTATAATTGGGTACATGTTAGGATACAGTTTTGATATATTAAGGGGCTGTTTGACAACTTCTGAATCGGTAAGTGCTGAACCAGTAAGAGGTCTGAACTATTAAGTGCTGAACCAGTAAGAGGTCTGAACAATTAAGAGCTAGTATATTGCTTAACTATTCAGAGGCAAATGTCTGATCAATTCAGATAAGAGGTCTTAACCATTCAGACTCTGTATAATACTTAACCATTCAGAGGCAAATCTCTTAACCATTCGGACATCTGAACCATTAAGAGGCTGAAACAGACAGTCTGAACCATTAAGTGCTGAACCATTCACACATCTGAACCATTAAGAGGCTGAAACAAACAGCCACTGAATTTATATATCATTTAGTTATTTAAATTACGTTTAATTTGTGATATAAAAAAAAGTGTCACGACAGGAAAAAGTCAAAACATGCAAAATTTGTAGGGCCCGAGGGAGTATTTTATACTCCATGAGTTCATGTACTCCATTTTTGAGGTGTGGTATTAGAAGATTATGATTAGTTAGATGTAGATATGAAAATCTAAGATAATTACTAAGTGGATAGGGTAAAAGAGAGGATAATGATGTCTTTAGAGTCTGTAAACATTATCTAAATGACTGTTGTAGTTTTTCAAGGAGATGTTTTGCAATTGGTATTGTCTTTCTACTCTTAACTCTTAAGATAAGGCAAAGTATGAATACACTTAAATTTCCATACCCCACTTTGTCGTTTGTGCCTTTGTGGTATTGCCCTCATTTGTTTTTGTTGGATACGTACGAGTATAAAAATACTATTGTCAAAGCTAGACACGTGGATTATTTATGTTTGTGATTGACGAGAATCTTTAGAATGACGATTACTTGAGAGGAGGTAAGTTGAGCTTTGATATCAAATTAGCTACAAAAATTGAATTTGCAACTGGTATTTGTAGAGACTATTTTTACTATAACTGTCTCCTGGTGCAGTTGCTAAGAATCGAACTTGAATCTTACCTTTTGACACTACTTACCTTTATCAATTGTACAACGTTCATCGGGAAGTTTCTGATTGAAGATTTAAGAAACCATTTACTCTGTATACTCTAACATGTCCGTAGCGGATATGAATTTTTTACTTTTTGCTAAAAAAAGGTACCTAGTTAGAACTTAAAATGGATAATGTTATATTAAGATATAATAAATTTTATAATTAGTCCACTATAACATAAAGTTTGTTGTGGTTTGTATATGTGTATCTTTCTACAAATAGTCTTTTTTTATTATTTTTTATGTTGATATTAATTTGAAGACTAAAAAATATGATTTTACATTTTTGTCATACTTAAGACTAGAGTTGTTGCTGCTATATCATTTGTCAACCGGACTTGCTGTCTACTAGTTTTGAATTTTTTTCTCTTTATGAAAAAAGAAAAGAAAAACGAAAAACAATAAAGAAAAAAGAAAGATCGTCTATAATTTTGGCGTCCATTTCCAAAATTATAGACGGCAACAAAATTACCAACCTAATATTTGAAGGACATTTTTGTCCAAAAGAACATTGTTGTAACTAGGGGTGTGCACCGGTCCAAAACCGGACCGGACCGGACCGGAACCGAAATTGCAATTTCTTTAGGACCGAAGACCGGACCTGTTTATTTCCGGTCCGGACCGGTCCGGACCTGTTTTTTCCGGTCCGGTCCGGTTTTACCCTACTTTAGACCGGAATTTTTTTTATATATTTTTTTGCAATCTTATAAATGAATTAAATTATTAAATAAATTTAGAAAAAAATTGAAATAATAAATTGTTTTTGTTCAAAGTATTTAATAAAAATAGTACTTATAAGTAGTAGCAACAAATTCATCAAAAC